GCAGGTGAGGTGGACAGAGAAGCAAAGAATACTTAGAAAAGGTATACACTAAATTGAAGAACAAAAAAATAAAGAAAAAGAGCATTTCTTTAAATTCTAGAACAAAGGCATTCCTTTTTGGGATTTTATCTGTATAAATGATAGCAACACAAGTACACTGATGTGAATGTGCTGGTAGTCACCTGCATATATTGGCACATATAGGCTACCGACTGTACCAATCTTAGCTGTGATTAACACACCAAGGATCGGTATACAACTGAAAATTAAACCTTAAGAGGTATTCAGGTCAGGAAACCAACCATTCCTCCCTACTTTCAACAATGAAGTATTTACAGCAGAATAGTACAACAGGAGTTTAGCCCATCTATGTCAAGCTTGCCATGGCAAATAGGAAGAGCTATCAGTTCCATTATAGTTGCTTGTTAAGTGCCAGAAAGCCTCAATAAACTGAGATAGAAAAGCTTCAGTTCTGCATCAGTGGGGAACATAGTAGTAAATCATCTTTAAGCTGTAATGAATCTTAGGGGGTGGAAAAAAAAAGCCATCAAGAGTTTTGTTCCCAGCCAACTTTCTCTCTCTGGCAAGCTGCTGCACAAGTTAGCAGAGGTCTCAAGTGGTCCAGAAGCCTGGAATAAGATCATAATCCCAGGGGGGAAAAAAAAAAAAAGAAAAAAAAAAAATGGTTAGTGAACAGTTTGCAGGCAGGATGTTGAAGATGCAGATAAATTACAGCCTCCTACCATACATTAATTTAATGAATCTTAAATTAAGATTCATTAAATCTTAAGTTTAACTGTGCTAATTAATTAAGTTTAACTGTGTGGCTCTGGCCCCAGATCTGTCCCACAAATACTCGTCTCAAGATTTCATGTCAAAACCAACTCAAATCCAAACAAAACAAAAAAAACCCCACAAAACAAAAGCCACCCTCTAACATCCTTCTTAGTTAGCATTTTAGTAGCCTACTACTTCATGGGCAATACCCAAGAACATCGTATGTTGCAGTCAGTATGGTCTGATCTAAAACCGTGTTCCTAAGGAATAGTTGGGGAAAACATGATGGTAAAAGCAAGAAGAGGTAGAGCTGTTGCATTTGTAGCACTCTCAATCACAATCACAAAAGTAGCCATAGTAGATCAACCAAAATCTACCTAAGCAAATATCCTGCCCCCCAACATGGTCAAGATTAGGTATCTAAGGAAGAAGAAATGAGGAGTGTGCACAACACCTTCTCCAAATACCCTCCTAGCCTAACGTCATTTATGGCTCAAGTTCCCCCAGTTGAAAGTAGTTTCTATGTATTCAGTAACCCTTAAAGGATTTCATCTCTATTCATTTTCAAAGTTTCACCTCATACGTATATTCAGAACTGGACTGAATAATGTTCCATGTGAAGAAAAACTGCTATAATGGTGCAGTACCAGATGTTATCATTTAAGGACATAATCAAGGAAAACATTCTCAGGAGCAGCTGTGGTTTTTATTAAAACAACTTCCATATCTGGAGTAAAAAGCAACATAAAAAATTAATCTGCTGCTTTAGGTCTGAATGGTTTTCCCATAGCTTTCATCAAGGCTCTGTTTGCTCCCATGATTGTTATTTCTGAAAGCTGCAGTCCTTAGGGATTATTCAGCAACTTCAACACTACAGCAATGTTGCTGTTACCAACTAATTCACCCTAAGGTGATTCAGAGCTTATTATTTGCCAGAAAGCAGAATCTAAATGTTCCTATTGTTCAAAATGAGCACCGTGTGCATTAACATGACAAGGGTATATCAATAAATACAAAGCAAATCTTAAGAAGCCTTTGGTTTTTACTCCTCCTGAGAAAGGACCGCCTGTCATTATCTGATCCTTACCACTAAAAGGTAAGGACTAACGCTCT